TTCACAGAGGAGCACAGCTTCAGCTAAAAATCATCTTTACTGTCCTACTGAAGAACAAAAGCCGCCTCCATGGCCTGAGGAAGAGTAAATTAACAGCAAATGTTCATTTTTGGGTGAACTGTCCCTTTAAACCAAGCGTAATAGTTGCTCTCTATGGGTGCCGTGCAGTGATCAGCTGTTACTAGATCACTAGACTGACCACAACACAACTAGCTGCTTGATTACTATCTCATCAACTCGTCTGAAATCATGGATTCATCCAGTGATCTATCCTTCGACTGAATTCAGCATTTCAGAAACATAAACACTCAGATATCTGCTGCGGGCGAGTGTGAGTTGTTGTGTTTATGAGCTGCATGTTTCCTGTGGATTCAGTCTGAGCTGAAGGTCGGTTTCTGCCTCTGGACGCTCGAGTCATTATGAGTGTAAGCAGAATGTGCTGTTCATAAACCCCGAAATAGAGCGAAAACACCAACTCAAACCCACTGACCACATTCACATTACGCTTTATTTACCGCGGTACACACAGAAATATAATGTAAGTCACACAGTGGCCTTGTGTTCACTGCAGACGTGATTCATTAGATCGAGTGTCTGAAATTCACTTTTTTTTACTTTACTTAAAGCCTTTATGAATCATGCATTATAAAGGTATTCATTATAATGCATTATATCTTTTCATACCACAGTTAAAACGCATTATATTATTTGAAGGTTTGTCATGTTTTAATGCATTATTCTTTCTAAAGGTGTAATAATGAATAGTGTTATGTGCTACGATTCATAAGATCATACAATGCATTACAAGGCACATTTAATGCATTAAAACTACTTTTATTATGCATTATATATAAAGTCTTACCTACATTTTTTAGTACTCATTTCTTTTTGTCATGAAAATGAATGCACACAATAAACTTGGATAAAATAAAACTTTTATAATATTTATTAAACATGATGTTATAAGCTAAAGTGGAGAAATGAAGGCAAAACTTTTGCCTATAATAAATATAAAAAATTATGGCTTTAAATTATATTGTTGAATGGCTAATTTATGATTTTATCCTCAAAATAAAAAAAGAACAGACTGCTGTACTCCACTGCTGTATATATTGTTGTTTAACACGTTAAACATAGTTGTGATTTTGATGAACGTGACTGTGAGCTTTAACACGTGTGTGTCATTTGTATGTTCAGGAAGCTTCAGCGTGTGTGTGCCGTATTTCACACGCGCCCGTCGGGTCACAGAGTTCAGGCATGTAGGTCTGACATGTGTGTGTGTGTGTGAGCGCGTCAGATAAGAGTGTGTGTGTGTGTGTGTGTGTGTGTGAGCTCCGTCTGTGACGCACACTCAAAACAACACAAAAGTGTTACAATTCAACTCTACAGAGAGAGTGGAAATAAAAGGCCTTACAGGATAGCAGGTATAGTTTAGGTCTAAGGCGAGACACTGCAGATTAACCAGTGTTTCATGCGCTGGTCAGTTTAGAGATTTTAGTCTATTTTGCTTCCGTAACACGTCCTCTTTCAGTCTAGTGGAAAGAAAACATCCAAAATAGACATTTAAGGGTTTGTTTTATTGCACTTTATCTATTAGCGTCTGCAGATTTCAATCTCAATCCCTATCTTTAAAGAGTTTTTCTCTTACAGACACCAAACTTGACAGTTTTATTCCTCTCTATATTCTGAAGGCTCGTTCATATATCATTCACACTGATTTATACAACATTTTACTCCTAAAAACATGGTGAAAATGTGTTTTCTGTCTGTTGACAGTATTTTCTGATCTCTGATAAAAAGAGAAATACAAAATCCCTCTGGAAAAACCTTTAACTCTAAAATCAAACAAGAATTATGAATCTAATTTTCAGGTTTCTGTTCTAGAATATTTACACATAACATTTCAGGAAACGTACAAACACCCGTCTTCATGTGCTGTGAAGAATCGCTGGTGAAGTAGGGTGAGTTTTGTCGTACAGTATTTGTGGAGCATTAATCTGGAACGTTTGGTCTGTTCAATGGTGACCCGTTCAAATATGATGATGAAACAAGTAAACATAAACATACACTTTCCGGAGGTTTTCCAGCACTGGAGTTTGTGCAGAATGAAGCGCGGCTGGAAGAGACAGTCTGACAAATAAACAGAGGTCTGGCATAACTCGTCTCCTCCTCCAGGTCTGGCTGTGGTTCAGGGTTAACCAGCTCACTGTGGTTCACTCACTCACACACACAAACACACACACACACAAACACACTCACTCACGGCATAAACAAGACAATAAATCCAGCCGTCTGCTGCAGAAACCTCATCAACACCATCACTTTCACGTCTGCAGCGCACAACAATATCTGTCTCTCTGTCCATCCATCTGTCTGTCTGTCAATCCATCTGTCTCTATATCTGTCTGTCTGTCCATCCATCTGTCTCTCTATCTGTCTGTCTGTCTGTTCATCCATCTGTCTCTCTATCTGTCTGTCCATCCATCCATCTGTCTCTATATCTGTCTGTCTGTCCATCCATCTGTCTCTCTATCTGTCTGTCTGTCCATCCATTTCTCTATCTGTCCGTCTGTCTGTCCATCCATCTGTCTCTCTATCTGTCCGTCTGTCTGTCCATCCATCTGTCTCTCTATCCATCCATCTGTCTGTCTGTCCATCCATCTGTCTCTCTATCCATCCATCTGTCTGTCTGTCCATCCATCTGTCTCTCTATCCATCCATCTGTCTGTCTGTCCATCCATCTGTCTCTCTATCCATCCATCTGTCTGTCTGTCCATCCATCTGTCTCTCTATCCATCCATCTGTCTGTCTGTCCATCCATCTGTCTCTCTATCCATCCATCTGTCTGTCTGTCCATCCATCTGTCTCTCTATCCATCCATCTGTCTGTCTGTCCATCCATCTGTCTCTCTATCCATCCATCTGTCTGTCTGTCAATCCATCTGTTTCTCTATCTGTCCATCCATCTGTCTCTCTGTCCATCCATCTGTCTCTCTATCTGTCCATCCATCTCTCTAGCTGTCCGTCTGTCTGTAAATCCATCTGTCTCTATCCGTCTGTCCATCCATCTCTCTATCTGTCCGTCTGTCTGTCAATCCATCTGTCTCTATCCGTCTGTCCATCCATCTCTCTATCTGTCCGTCTGTCTGTAAATCCATCTGTCTCTCTATCTGTCTGTCTGCATGTCCATCTGTCTCTCTGTCCATCCATCTGTCTCTCTATCTGTCTGTCTGTCCATCCATCTGTCTCTCTATCTGTCTGTCTGTCCATCCATCTCTCTATCTGTCCGGCTGTCTGTAAATCCATCTGTCTCTCTATCTGTCTGTCTGCATGTCCATCTGTCTCTCTGTCAATCCATCTGTCTCTCTGTCCATCCATCTGTCTCTCTATCTGTCCATCCGTCTCTCTATCTGTCCGTCTGTCCATCCATTTGTCTCTCTATCTGTCCGTCTGTCTGTCCATCCATCTGTCTCTCTATCTGTCTGTCCATCCATCTGTCTCTCTATCTGTCTGTCCATCCATCTGTCTCTCTATCTGTCTGTCGTTCTCTTGAACTGTTAATAAGATGGTTTGGTTTTCTGGTTTAATCAAATATTGCCACATCAAACCCCACATTTCTACATGTACTTTACAGTGAAACTGCTGCATTTTTCAGCGCAGCACATGTGCATTCATTTAATTTGGACTCTCATATATCAAAATAAATGAAGACCGAGACAGACGAGCCGCAGGTGAGACGAGGTGATCAGAATCACAGCCCACAAACACCTGCTGAAAAACACCACAGTACTATGCTTTTGGACATGTAACTATGGTAAAATTTGAGGTACCTCGGAACAGTGTTATTTTATTATCATTGAGATACTATAGTTGTTTTATTAATATTTTAAATTAGATATTTTATATTTTTATTTTAATTAATTTTGTTTAGTGATTCTTATTAGTTTTAGTTTTTTTCTATGTCTATACATATATATATATTTTTTTTTTCAGTTTTAGTTTTAATTTAATTTAATTTTAGTAGTTCGAGTTAAGTTAAATGAGAAACTGCCTTAATTTAAATTTAAATTTTTTTCAAGAAATGATGTTTATTTATTTATTTTTATGGTTATAGCTTGAGCTAGTTTTACTAATAACCCTGCCTCCTTGGAATACCAAGTAATAAGTAAAATATCATGATGCATGAATATAATAATCAGCATTATAAAGCGTTCAGACACTAGGCCATGAGTTTGATTCCCAGGTTATGCATGAGCCAATGAAATATTTGCCTTCAATGAAATTAAAGTTGCATTGCTTAGAAGCATCTGCCAAATGCATGCATGCAAATGTGATTTCTGTACCACGATATTACCATCTAATACCATGTCCATACATCCTCTTCTTCCTGGCCATGTCTAAATTGCCTAAAATGTCCAGGTTTTGGCTCTGCTTTCTTGATGTAATGTCTAAAAAGTAGTTTGACCAATAGTGCGCAGGCGTGCGAGAAGGTCAATGCGGTGCAAATATGCTCACATGTAATGTATGAGAACTGTAGAGATGAGCAGGTACGGTCAGCCTGGTTCTGTAGAGGTCAGAGGTCGTTACTGTGATGTTCTGGATGTAGTTCAGCAGCAGTTCGGTGTGTTTGAAGGCTTTCAGGCAGCAGATGTTTCTTCAGTCGAGCAGAAACAAGTCTGAGTCTATATTTGGGTTTGGTGTCTAATACACAAACTCCACCCAATTCCAGAGCAATTACCCCCCGCCCGTCACGTTATATAACGGCAGCGAACCGCAGCGTCTCACCATGAGCTAACGTGAGCGTTTGACCGCATCACTTCCTGTTGTGAGGCCGAGCTGAGCATGTGTGGACGGTTGCTGTTTACTCAGTCTCAGCTCCACATGTGCTCAGCGTCTGTGGCTCCGGATCCGTGGGTTTGTTTTTCTCCTTCAGCCCAAAACAGCTAAATCCAGACGCCAATCCAAACGCCCGCGCGTCACCCTCAAAACCGCCGGAAACCAGCCTGTCTGTCTGTGTCCGAGCGCTACTGTCTCACACACACACACACACACACACACGTGCCGGTGCGCTTCATTAACCCGCCCCAGCACACAGAAACACACACGGATGACACACAGGATCAATCCCATGATGCTCTGCTGCCACCTAGAGTCCAGCGCTCACAGATGATTACACACGTGAGCTCACTCCATATCAGTGTATCATACTGGTGCTTTCACCAGAACAACTCATGATAATAATTATTATTATTCCAATGAAAATGATAATAAAAATTTCACTTTTCTTGTGTAAATGTGGGGAAATTTCACATACACAAGATTAAATTGTCAGCAAAAACATTGCAAATAAAATAAAAATACTTGCCATATTCTGAATGAATATAGAGTTTTGGATTAATGAATGGTTGTTATGTACGGTTTATTTATGTGTGTATATTTTAGCATAATGTTGTTGGATTCTTTGTTCTAATAAAAAAAAAACACTCAAATCCCATTAATAAATATATGATGCCGATTAAGTTCATGAGCATTCAAATATGAAACATATTAATGTTTTACTGCTAACAGTTTACAATAAGGACTCATTAACATGAACTAACAATGAGCAAAGCATTATTTACAATTTTTATTAATCTTTGTTAATGTTAGCTAATAAAAATACTTATTAAGGTTAGTTTAGAGAGCATTAACTAAAGTTAACACGTACAAATTTTGATTTTAATAATGTTTTAGTAAATGCTGAAATTAACATCGACTACGATTGTTAAATAATGGTAACTAATATTAAGAAATTAAACTTTACTGTAAAGTGTTACTATTTTATCATGTTTGATTATATTAAAAGAGCATTATATAAAGTTTAATGGAAGTCACTAAGAGTTTAAGCTGATTTATTTTCCTTTGTGGAGAATATGGTGACACAAACACTTTCATTAGTTTTATTATTACTTATCTGAACAGAAGTGCACATGATGACAATCAGAGCTTTGAGAGTCGAACATAAATTTATCACATTTAGTCCTGATAAATTCATGAAATCACCAGTGAATTCTGAGTGAGAGGCGCGACGCATGCGTGAATGTGACGAGCAGCGGCGTGTTTCTGCTCATCTGTGTGTTTCTGATTGCTTTATAGACGTCAGGGGCGGAGTCTCGGGGCAGTGGGTGGAGCTGTGTCTGAGGGGCGGGGGTATCGGGGAAGTGGGCGGAGCCGTGTCTCTGAGGAGCAGGGTCTTGGGGAAGTGGGCGGAGCTGTCTCTGAGGAGCGGGGTCTTGGGGCAGTGGGCGGGGCCATGTGTCTGAGGGGCGGAGTCTCTGGGCAGTGGGCGGAGCTTTGAGTCTGAGCACGCTCAGTGCGGTTCAGCGTCGCTGCGTTTGGCGGGTTTGGCGATGAGGTGTCTCTCTCGCTCCAGCTCTCTCTCTTTCTTCTGCTCGCGCTCCAGATCCTCCTCCTGCTTGTGCTGCTGCAGCTTCAGCGCTCGCTTCTACACGCATCACAGGAACAGACCACACCGACGTCAACATCCACCATCACTGCTAGTGAATGGGTGCCGTCAGAATGAGAGTCCAAACAGCTGATAAAAACATCACAATAATCCACAAGTAATCCACAGCACTCCAGTCCATCAGTTAACATCTGGAGAAGACAAAAGCTGAAACAAATCCAGCATTAAGAAGGAAGCGTTATTATGGATTATGGACTCTATGTATTTTAGTTAAAAGCGTCTTAATGCTGGATTTGTTTCAGCTTTTGTCTTCTCCAGATGTTAACTGATGGACTGGAGTGCTGTGGATTACTTGTGGATTATTGTGATGTTTTTATCAGCTGTTTGGACTCTCATTCTGACGGCACCCATTCACTGCAGAGCATCCATTGCTGAGACACTGATGCAGTGCTACATTTCTACAAACCTGATGAAGAAACAAACTCATCCTGATCTCGGAAAGACTGAGGGTGAGAACATTTTCAGAAAGTGTTCATTTTTGGGTGAACTATTTCTTAAATATGTCCTGAGAGTAAACAACCAATCTATAGAAGTCAGAGTATGTTTTCAGCTTGTTTTCAGTGTGACGCGTCAGTCCTCACTATCTCAGGATCATATATGAACAGTGTGGATCTGGTGTGAAGCTCAAACCTTCAGTCTGGTGGTCTTGTCGTGCAGAACGATCATTTCTCTGCGGATGTTCACCAGCTTTCTGTGATAAACGGTGGCCTCTGTGAACTGAAACACATGGGCTGTGAGTCTGACGACGGCAGGAGGCTTTAATGATGAAACACGACAAACTCACCAGTGTGTTCAGATCAATCGTGGCGTTGCACTCGCGGAACTTCGTGACTTCCTGTTCCAGCGTATCCAGCAGAATCACCTGGTTTTGTCTAGAAGAGATAACGATTATTACAGCATTCTGAGCCCCAGTGTTTATTGTGAAGCACTGTTTTTCAGTCTGATCCAATAATAAGGCTCATTTACTCTGCTCGTGTTTCGAGAACCAAACCCAATGTGACCCAAAACATTAGTGTTAAAGATTACAGTTGATTTCCCTTCCTGTTAGACAGGAAATGGAAGGTGAAGTCAAGCACATTGCATTGTGGGATGCAGTATCTCCAGCATCATACAGTGTGTGTGTGAGTGTGTGTGTGTGTGTGAGTGTGTGCGAGTGTGTGTGTGTGTGTGTGTGTGTGTGTGTGT